TCAACAAAAAAGTTATTTCACTTACAATATTTATTGCTACTTAAGCAAATTTTGGCGCGAATCAAGGCTTTTATATTGGTCTCGGCTTTCTAATTTTGCAAAAATGTGGCCCAGGCGCTTTTCATCAGTGACAGCACTTGCAGACTCACTAACAACACGCACAAACCGTTCGGTATTCTGGGAATGACAGAGGAACTCTAAAAAAAAATGATTTAAAAGTACTATAAGACCCGTGAAGTTTTTAGTTTGAAGATATTTACCTGGGATATTTATCACTTCATTTTCCGAAAATTGAAACATTGTAAGTTCACTATCTGGGTAGAACTGCACACAAGGGGGTTCCGTAATCTTAAACTGACTCCAATCGATCATGCTGACATACGACTTACTTTCAAAGTTTATTACGCCATGCTTTGGGACCTTGAACACGCGAAGCCCTGCTGGTGGATATTGACGTGCTGTTTTGATTTTTTCGTACCCATCATTACGTATCTCTGGATCAGCGTCGGTTATCATGGCTAATAATATATTTTCTGGGTGAAAATAATATGCATTATTTTCTATAGCTGAACGTATAATGGCTTGAACAGCATTTGATAGTTCGCGTATCCAGCAAATATACTTAAAAACGTGTCTACTTCCATGAATTGCTTGTGGCTGGCTCTTTACAAGAAACCAGAATGGTGCATAAACTTTCACAACAAACTCTACCATGTTTCGCAACTCCGCTGACGGGCTTTCTTTGGAAACATATACCCGAAGTAAGCTGTTGTAAGCCACCGAGCTGTACTGACGGGACCGGGGCTCTTACTAGCGAGATATTCATCGCATTCACCATTATTTACTGCCAAAACCATATCAAATAAATAACGCTGATCATTGCGTAATTCCCAAGAGCCAATATTTTCAGGAATAACTCCCATAGCAATAGCCTCAAAACCACTTACAACCTGATAAGGAAAATATATGTTTTTGTTTATAACATTAACTATTATAGTGTGGACAACCTACCGGGTATTTGGTGCAAGTCATAATTTCAGACCCCAACACCCCTGGCCAAACACCAGGTCCTTTCTGCTTGCCAATATAATGCGTTAACAACTTTTTTAGAGGCAACTCGTTGAAATGTAACAAACACACATTCCACTGCAAGGGCCTTTGTAAATAACGTTCCATTTGTGCATTTACTCCAATTTTATATCCAGTATTGACAGCTGTACCATCACAGCTTATAGCTACAAGTTCGTTTAAGCAATATTTTTGGGTATTCAAAAAGCTTACTATTGCTTGCTGGATTGCTTCCCCAGTGCCTTCTTTTGGAGATACGTATCCAATAAATTTCGAATCAGGCTCTTTCAAAATTGTAATATGCTCCTCTCTTAGAAGCATTGTTCTTACGCTACCGTGAACTATTTTTTTTTTTAGTGTTACGTCCTGTTTACCATCATACGAAATGCATTTAAGATCAGTGCCAGTTTTTGTTGCTGCTTCAGTTTGTGCTCTACATTTGTTACGCTCGCGTGAAATTTTATTTTTGTCAATGACCAGATAATCAAAATATTTCATAATTTTATCCGCTGTGTTTTCTTTAAAATCCTTTTTTACTTTTGTAGCAATCGCAGCTTGCAAATCTTTTATTAGCATTGTAGCAAGCAATGATCCAAAGCGATCTGAAGTATCCGTCCTATCTAACGCCGAGCAATAATTTTTTAAGGACAAATCAGATACTTTTAAACTTTGTGTGACTTCTTCACTTGCTTCATCGTCTTCACTTGAGCTAGGCACATAACCAATCGAACTTGCAGCGGTTTCAGTGTGATTTTCAACATTACATTCTAGCGAGCAATTGTCAGTTCTAGTATGATCAAGCCCACTATCTAATGACAAAAGCCTTGGCCCGCATTGATCATAAAGAAAGTCATTTACCGCGGTTGGAACTCTACTTGCACTAGGGCAATCACATTGTCGATTTAAGTCCATAATGCACTTACACTTTGAAATTAACAATATTTTATTCCATTCCTGATCATTATATTCATAAGGATGTTTTTTTACATTGTAATAACTTTGAAGGAGGCTTTCAATGTTTCTCCGGAGCGTAGTTCTTGTAACTATAGGGATGTTTGCCTGCTGCCACAACTTTGAAATTGTGTTCATAACTATTGGCAAATATTCATTGAGACTTCGATTTTTTGGAACACTTGCAGAGCCGTAATATTTAAGGAACAAAAAATATTCAATAACACCACGTTTCGTAGGTAACATTTTAATATCAATATCGCGCTTAACGAAAGCCATTTTTAAATTGCACACACTGTTAAGTCACTTTTTAATTTTATTTCACCAGCACAATTTATGGTATTAATTATAAATTATTATTATCAATACGAAACAACAGGTTTGACTCACTTATTTACTTTGACTTCCACAATTTATAAAATTTATTGGCATGATTAAATTACAAGAGGTTAGCTCGCTATTGACAGCGTCAGTTTTGCACTCCCCGGGTTGCTGATGCGACGAAAACAAAGAGTATGAATTTGGGAAAAATCGTAGCAAAAATGTACCTAAATTGGTACGAAAGCAGTGAGATTAAATTTCCAACTAAGAAAACTGTTGGAGGAATTTGTGGGGGCGAATTTTGTTAGCTGACCTAACCATGGGTAAACGACTTCATAGCTTAAAAGCAAATGTGATGACATGTTAATTTTAAAAATCGGCCGTCAAATACCCAACTTTCAACGAAAAAACCTTTTCGGCTGTATTTCGAAGGGTTAAAAAAAAAATAAAATAAAAATTTCGAAATCCTCTTAACATAATCCTTAAATTTAGGTTACTCTGTTGCATAAAAAAAATCAATTTTTGTTGTACTGTGTTATTATACTTACATCTGAAACTCATGTTGACCTGTGATATTAAAAGTGCTATAACTCCTTTGTTTATTATTTTAGTAATATAGTTTGAAGGCAACATTTTCTTGAATTTTTAAGTACTTTCGTTTGGTAAGGAAAAAAATATACTTTAGGGGGGGTAAAATTTTGTTTCTGCCCTTATCATGCGAACGCGACTTCAAAGCTTAAAAAGACATAAGAACGAAAAGTGAAGCTTCTCAAGACAAAAATAATGACATATCAATTTTAAAAATCGGCCGTCAAATAACCAAGTTACAACGAAAAAACCATTTCGGCTGTATTTCGGAGGGTTAAAAAAAAAAAAAAAAAATTTTTCCAGAACCCTCTCAACATAATCTTTAAATTTAGGGGCGGACATTAGCAACTTATTTTTTCGACCCAGTCTAATGTACATTAAAGTGGCCCTTATTTTTGAAAATCGGAGATTTGCGGGTGCTTCTCCTTGAAATGGTTACCTTTATTGAAAAAATAATTCCCTAAAAATTTTGGCTCAATTAATCAAGTCGAACCCGTGCCGCAAATGGGTCGAAGTTGAGATAACGACAGTATCACTTTCCGTCAGTGCTGCCTTTGGCTAGCCACTTTACTAGCGCCCTTTGCACGGTTACTATTGTATAAAACATAGCATGATGCAAACCAAAATTATTTCTGTTCACCCCATCATTCATAAATAAATGGACAACTAATTTTTAAGCAAAAAACAAAACCGACTTCAATTCTCATATACAAACTTAAGATTATCGTTAATTTCTTCATGATCCAATGATCGGATTTAAACCAAATTAGTATGGGACCACCTGTGGGGTAACACCTTTCCTTAAAAAAAAAATTATAGAAATCGGTTAACGTGGTCCAAAGTTATGCGGTAAAATACGTAAAAAAAATATTCCGACGGATTGATAATTGATAGCCTTCGCCTTTTTGTGAACTCGGTTAAAAATAAGTTTGATTTCGTTCCTTTGAAATATGTATGTATATTTAGGACTTTTTACATGTACGAGTAAGTAGATAATAACGCACAGAACCACGATACATGGTTCATTATTCCAACACGTTTGTGGTATGGGTTAATCTGGGTCAATTGAGTCTATATTAAATGATAAATATTTTCTCCTTATACATAAACATTTCAGGGGCAGCACCTCAAAAAACTAAAAAACTAAAATTTTAAATAAACCTTTCATTTCATTTCATTTTAAGCTAGAAAACGCGGTTTTGTACATTTATCATTTTTGAATGACTATTTTTCATTAAATTTTAAAGATCGAACATGTCGTGAGAAAAGGATTTATAGGCCTTTAAAATGCTGTATAATAATCTATTGTCATACTTAGATTGTCGGGATTTTCATTGAGCAAATAAAAAAAATTTATATTTTCTTATTTTTTTAAGTTTTGACGATTCCATATTTCAATAATTACAAAATATTTAGTACAATTAAACTGATAAATCTACAAAACCATATTTTCTGACCTAAAATTACAAGTCGCGAACTTTAAATGATTTTTAAAAAACCTATAAAGATAGGCAATAATATTTCTCATAAAAAGGAAGCAAGCCTGGAAATAAAAAATAAATAAAAATTCGATGGGCACCCTATGTATGTATCTATCAGGGTTGTTGCGAATATTATTCTGGAATAAAAGTCGTTTTCGGATAATAAGCAAACCGACTATCCAAATTAAACAAATTTGGTGTCATATGGAAGAGGACTGAAATAGCTTTAAAACAGATGCAGATTTTACTGCTTGAATAGACCTACAACAAGTGTGAACCTCGAAAAAACTAAAAAAAAACGGTTAAAGTACAAAACCGCGTATCAACAAAATGCAAAGCCGCCTATGTGAGGTTGCATAAATTATTATCTAGATAGTAAAAACACTCATATTTCAAAATGGTTCTCTTTTTTATAAACCAATCGCATTTCAGGATAGTATATTTCAGGACGAATGGATAAGGATTGAGCCAACAGCTTCTGTAAGCAATTCCAATTTTTGGCAGCAAATGTCAGTTACGCGTTTTTGTAGAATGACGATACGCGGTTTTGTATGCGGGGTTGTATAGCCAGCAAAAACTGCGGAAAGAGATCAGAAAACTGAAAGAAAGTTGAATAGAAAAGTGTTACGAAGGGTTGTGCAACGAACACTTTTCCGGTTGGTTTTCTGCAATTTTTGATTCCGAACTTCACAAATGTTTTTTAATAGTTAATTATACTCAGAAATTAATTATACTTTTAAAATACTTTTTAATATGTTCGTCTGCCGGCATAAGAACCTGGGACCTCATGAAAGCTTACAAATAGTCGCACGCTTCTCTGCACACTCAGCTACTGTCGAATACGTATATGTACATGTTTTCAAATGTTCAGTTTGAGCAAATATTTTAAAATTATTGTGTTGCCGCTGGGTATACTCGTTTACACCGCCGCTGGGTATACTTATCACTTTGCCTACCACCTTAGCATACCTATATATACATGAGTGTATACGTGTAGTTAAATCATCTTCACTCATACGTACTACAACATTAATAAGCCATATATGTATGTACATACATTTTGTAAATAGTTAAATAGCCACCGTTATATTTTGTATTCATTTCATAAGTGTATAAATAACCCCGCCAGAGTAAAATTCTGGGTCTTTCTTGTATTTGACACGCGTATTAACCATACAAAATATTTTTAAAGGGCTGCGCAAGTAGCACATGAATTAGTGCAAATAAAGTTAAAAGCAAAGCTAAAAAATTTGTATTTGGTCATTTATTTGAGAGACAACAAATCTTTAAAAATATTTTCTTTAAAATAAAAGTTAATAAACATGTCTAACGAGTACAATTGCAATAATTGTTGTGAAAAAGATACCGACCGCATGGTACAGTGCGACTCCTGTGACAGGTGGTTCCACTACGATTGTGTCGGGGTGAATAGTAACGTGACCAACATAAGTTGGAATTGTAAATCTTGCGAATCCGCGCAGACAAATCACGTTGAAAAGAGCACTATCGCTCCCCCGACATCTAATGGTGAAATATCTACGGTAACGACCGGGCAACCACAAGCAGCATCGTCGCCAAATACGGACGTACAGAATAATAATTCTGCAGCATTCGGTACACATGGTCAACAACCAATAGGTTCAATTACAACAGCAAGCAATATCATCGTATCAACGGCAACGATAATGACTCCTGCCGTTATCACCTCCAATGCGCATCGCGCGAACCCACCAATGATATATTCAACCGCAATGTTCCCACCTGCCAAGCAACTCCCGGGTCTAGGACAGCAAGCGAAAGCGAAAAATAGAGCAAAGGTATCTACAAAAAAAGTACGAAATACTAAGCGCAGGCGGTTCGTCTATCGGAATCAACCGCACAACTACAGCTCCGACTTCTTCGCAGCTTGCCGCTAGACAAGTAATTCCAAAGGATTTGCCTACCTTCAGCGGAAATCCGGATGACTGGCCGCTGTTCATAAGTAACTACGAAAACAGCACGCAAGTAGCGGGGTACACCGACGCCGAAAACCTAATGCGGCTGGAGAAGTGTCTCAAGGGAAAGGCCTATGAGACGGTACGCGCTGCAAATTATTGCTCCCCTCTATGGTCCCGGAAATAATTCAGACACTTAAGATGTGTTTTGGACGTCCAGAGCATATACTAGAATCGTTGGTGGAGAAAGCCAGGGCGATTCCACTGCTGAAGGAAAAACTGGAAAGTCTTATCGACTTCGCGTTGTGCGTGCAAAACATCTGCTCTACGATGGAAGCCTGCCATATAGAGGCGCATCTGAATAATCCAATGTTGGTGAAGGAATTCGTTGACAAGCTTCCAAGCCAACACAAGTTAAATTGGGCAATGTTACAGCGAGACGAGCGAGTACCAATTATTAAAGCGTTTAGTGATTGGATTTTCCAAATAGCCGAAGCAGCAAGTAAGGTGATCACACCACGTGTATCCAAAAAGAGTGGCGTAATTAACGCACACACGCAAGCAACTGGTGTCGAAAACCATAACAAAGTTGGGTGTGTTTTATGCGGGTGCACCGATCATAAAATACAGACGTGTGTAGAATTTAGTAAACTCACCTTGGAGCGCAAGTGGGATGTAGTAAAATCCAATAAATTGTGCAGACAATGCTAACATGCACCGCCGAAAGTGTTATGCGAACAGGGAGTGTGGAGTCGATGGTTGCCAATCAAAGCACCACAAGCTTCTTCATAAAAACACTCCGAAGAGCGTATCTACGTATGCTGAGCAAAAGCAAAATACCACACCACCTCTAATAAATAATCAACTGGTAAACACTCATGTAGGTAATGATGAAGATGCACCATGTTTTCGTATAATACCCGTTCGCATACACTCAAAGGGTAAATCCATAAAAACCTTCGCCTTTTTAGACGAGGGATCATCCGTGACATTGATGGAAAAACACATTTATGATTCCTTGGGCTTGGACGGCGAGCTAGAATCACTGTGCCTTCGCTGGACCGGCGAAAACACACGGATCGAAAGCGACTCAATGCGAACGTCGATACAGATTTCAAACGCATACGATAATGCAAAATACGAAATAAATGAAGTGCACACCGTTTCGCGACTGGGCTTGCCTAGCCAGTCTCTTAATATGGAGAAAATTACGAAGAAATACCCTTATCTACGCGGGCTTCCGATCGAGTCATATGAAAATGCCGAGCCGGGTATTCTAATAGGAGCCAATTGTTGGAAACTTGCGGTGCCTATCAAGACTCGTGAGGGACACTGGCTTGAGCCGATCGCCACTAAGTGTCGCTTAGGTTGGACCTTGCAGGGAGGTACTACTAACCACTTTGACTCACAACTATTGAATATTCACATATGTGACTGCGAAAAGAAATACGAAATCCTACACGAAGAGATCAAGGAGTACTTCAGCCTAGAGATGCCGCAAAAAAGAGAGCTCATGTCCCCACAAGACTGTAGAGCGCTGCAAATTCTAAATTCAACGTGTGAAAAAAGAGAGGGCCGCTATGAAGTGGGGTTGTTGTGGAAGCATGACGACGCAAAGTTACCAGCTAGTTACGACAACGCCCTTAAACGCTTCAGATGTATGCAGAAAAAGTTAGCTAAGGACTCCAATTTGCAACGTGACATGCAGAAGCAAATAGACAACTTAATTAGCAAAGGTTACGCAAGAAGGTTAACTGCAGACGAAGTAAATAGATCATACGACCACGAGTGGTACCTGCCGATATTTATCACACTAAACCCCAACAAACCCGGCAAGTTGCGCCTTGTGTGGGACGCTGCGGCCAAATCTGATGGAGCCGCTCTTAACGATTTCCTTCTGTGCGGGCCAGATCTACTCAATTCGCTAGTCTACGTATTACTGGCCTTTAGAACTGGGCAGTTTGCTATTTGTGGAGACATTGCCGAAATGTTCCACCAGATTCGCGTAAGAGAAATGGACATGCACGCTCAGAGGTTCTTGTGGCACGAGAACTGTGAGGAGTTACATAACCCTCACATCTACGTTATGCAAGCGCTTACCTTTGGCATCAGCTGCGCACCTTGCATTGCTCACTTTGTTCGAGAGGTAAATGCAGAGCAATACAAGCAAACATCACCGCGAGCGGTAGAAGCAATACAAAAGCATCATTACGTCGATGACTTCATCGACAGCGTCGATACCGAAGAAGAAGCACTGGAACTGGCTCTGCAAGTGAAAGCAATTCACGCTCAAGCTGGATTCAACATTCGTAACTGGGCATCTAACTCATCAGCTGTTCTGAGGCAACTTCCAGGGGAGTCCGTCGAAGATCAAACTCCTAAGGACTTAAGCAATGCAGAAAAAATATTAGGTTTGTTTTGGGATCCAACTAACGATGTTTTTAAGTTTATTTGCAGGTTCTCCAAAATGAGACGAGACATCTTGCAATGTAGCTTGGTCCCAACCAAAAGGGAAGTACTCCAGGTGTTGATGTCCATCTTCGACCCTCTCGGGTTTGTGGCACATTACACCATAGGTCTTAAAATACTACTGCAGGATGTATGGCGATCGGCCATTAACTGGGATGACCCACTCCCAGGTCCGCTTTACAACAAGTGGTGCCAGTGGAAGACGTTGTTGCCAGCAATAACCTCTATTACGATTCCGCGATGTTATTCACAACTTCTAAAAGACTCCGAATGCAACCAAATCCACACCTTCGTAGATGCCGGCGAGTATGCTTACGCGGCAATTTGCTTTTTGCGAGTGAAAAACAAAAACGAAGTCAACACTATCATCGTGGCCGCTAAGTCAAAAGTAGCACCGCTAAAGCCCTTATCTATCCCGAGGCTCGAACTACAAGCTGCAGTGACTGGCGTAAGATTGGCGAACAATGTGATGAAGGCACTACAAGTTCCGATTCATGCTCGATTCTGGTGGTCAGACTCAAAGACCGTGCTCAAATGGCTCCGCATGGATCCGAGAAATTTCAAACAGTATGTAATGCATCGCGTGGGCGAGGTATTCGAGGCGACCAACGCCACTGACTGGAATTGGGTTCCCTCAAAACTTAACCCTGCTGACTTGGCAACGAAATTCAGCCGGCAACAAAGTTCCGATATCTGGCTGCACGGGCCGAAATTCTTATCTTTCAATCAAACCGATTGGCCGAAATGCGACGACCTCGGACCAGTGGAGCATACTGAACACCGACATTTTACCTTTCATATAACCAAAGGCGAAACCACACAACCTTTAATCGATGCTGATAGGTTCTCAAGCTGGCGTCGATTATACTTGACGATGGCGATGGTAATATTGTTCGTAGAAAAA